CACCAACATGGTGGAGAGGACGACGCCAGGCAGCAAAGACCTTTCCAGGTAAGGATGGCGTACGGAGGGGCTGGCGCCGAGCCGACCCTGAGAGCATCACGTGCTCCTGCTTCAAACTGAGCTCTGCGCATGTGTGCCGGGGTCCTCACTGAGACTGCCTGGGTTGAGCGTGCTGCACATGCTGTCCTGTTTGTGTCTGTGACTACTTCTTCGTTCCATTTTAGTAAAGAATTTCGTGAAGGAGGACGTATTCTAGTACAGAAATTACAGAAATACCAGCCACGAATAGCAGTGTTTAATGGAAAATGTAAGATTTACTTTTAAATTTTGTGGTTTTTTTTTTCTTTGCTAACATTATAGGCATGGTAAATAGATTTGTATTGTGTTTCATTTTAGGTATTTATGAAATTTTTAGTAGAGAAGTTTTTGGAGTAAAGGTTAAGAACTTGGAATTTGGGCTCCAACCCCACAAGATTCCAGACACAGAAACTGTAAGTCATCAAAGTGGCAGCCAGATGTGTAATGTTTCTCATTCATTTCCCTTTCTATTTGTCCTATTCTTTGTATTTCAAGCTACAAGAAAAATTCCACTGTGTTTTATTGAATAACATCTCCGTGTGTATCAGCTTGAACTATCACTTGTAAAATAATTCAGATACTGCTAGAATTTTATTAGAGATATGTTTATCAGCAAAAAGTCTTTTTTAAGTAAAGATTCATTTTTATTGGAAAGGCAGATTTACAGAGAGGAGAGACAGAGAAAGATCTATCCCCTTTTTCACTCCCCAAGTGGCCACAGCGGCCAGAGCTGCGCCAAGATCCAAGGCCAGAAGTAAGCAGCTTCCTCTGGGTCTCCCACGTGGGTGCAGGGTCCCAAGGCCTTGGGCCGTCCTCTGCTGCTTTCCCAGGCCACAAGCAGGGAGCTGGATGGGAAGTGGAGCAGCCGGGACATCAACCCCTCACTGGGCCCAGCCAGGTGTCTTAATGATGTGATCTAGCTAAAGTTTAAGAGGAACTGGTTTATGTGCTTCGTTTAAAATATATTTAATAGCATATTCTTGTTGCGTTCAGTTGGCCCTTGAAGCAAACATGCAAATTGAGACATGATTCTCATGAAGAAAACTATTACCCTACTTGTGTATTCATTTCAGAGCCGTTTAAATATGCCCTGCACGGACGTGCAGCCAACCTCAATGGTGTTCGACCTTCATGTCTTAGATACGAAGGCATCATGAAAAAACAGTGGCTTTCAAACCTGTCCTTGCCACAGATAACTTGATTCCAAACTTGTGTCTTAAATACAGTGGTTTTGGTGATCTTGCTAATATTTATTTTTTTATAAGAATTTTTTTAATTGGAAAGTCATATTTGCACAGAGAAGAAAAGACAGAAAGATCTTCCATCTGCTGGTTCACTCCCCAAGTGCCCACAGCGGCCGATGCTGAGCTAGTCTGAAGCCAGGAGCCAGGAGCTCTTCCGTGTCTCCCACCCAGGGGTAGGGTCGCAAGGCTTTGGGCTGTCCTTGACTGCTTTCCCAGGCCACAAGCAGGGTAAATATCACAAATTTGAACCTCAGCACAACTACTTTTACTAATTTTATGTATACAATATATGTATATGGTTAGACATCAAGTTATTACCTTGATAATCTGAAGGTTGATTCTCTTAACTCCGCACTGTCAGCTGCTAAGAGGGGAGAGAAGAATGTTGGTTAAATCTACTTAGTCTACTTACAAACTTAAATGATCAAGTCAGGAGATTCTGTTCTGAGGTCATCACAGGGTTGCCCTGGCTCTGTGTCCAAGTAGGTCGTCATGGTTACCGGGGGATGCTGGGCATCGTCGAATGATAAGTGGTATGATTTCAATAGGAATCAGTTCAGTAGAGTTGCAGCATTTCTGAAACGGAACTTTGTGATTCCAGCTCTGCTACGTCATGCCGTCATCCAGCGCGAGGTGTGCCCAGTTCCCTCGGGCCCAGGACAAGGTTCATTACTACATTAAGCTGAAGGACTTAAGGGATCAGTTGAAAGGCATTGAACGAAATACAGATGTTCAGGAGGTGCAGTACACGTTCGACCTGCAGCTGGCCCAAGGTACACCACTGCTATCACTCCTTTCGTTATACAAAGTAGGTTAATAGAAGCCGGAGAAGAGGTCACCTCTGTGTCAGAGAGTCGTGCTGCAGATCAGGCTCCTCCCCTGGGCTCCCCCTCGCCAGGCGCAAGGCACACCCCGAGGAGCAAGTGGACTTTGTCTGCTGCCTGAAATTAAGCGCCCTCAGGGTTTCTTCCGTGCTTAAGAGTAAAGCTGGCATGTGCCACAAAGAGTTGAAAAGATGATAGCAAAATGAATTTCAGTATTCATGAACACTTAAAAAGAATAGTCCATGGTTTCTTAATAAAGATCTTCAAAATCACTATTACCTAGTCAGTGTTTAATTTTTTCTCCCTATTTCACAGAGGATGCAAAGAAAATGGCTGTTAAAGAAGAGAAATACGATCCTGGTTATGAAGCAGCCTATGGCGGTGCTTACAGTGAGAACCCGTGTGGCAGTGAACCGGGCAGCTTCCCGTCCAGTGGGGCAGGTGGGTTCCTCCTGCGTGAGCGTGCCTCCCAGAGCACTGGCCCTGTCAGGGTGCGGGGTGGGGTGGATTTAACAGGAAGGGGAAAATTCGCAGATGGGAATGATAATGCAAAATGTCACATGGTAACAGCAAAAAGTTGGTGCTTATTTGGTGGCCGTATAGCTTGTTTCCTTTAAGTCTTCTTAGTTACATTCTTTTCTTTTAATATAATAATAATTCCCTTTTATTGGACTGTGAGAATCTGCTGACTTGATCACTTAAGCTTGTATTTTTAACCAACATTCTTTTCTCCCCTCTTAGCTGCTGACAGTGCGGAGTTAAGAGAATCATCTTTCAGTGACATTCCAAACGGGCAGTGGATGGCCCAGCCGTTTAACAATCATTGTGGAACGCAAGAGCAGGAGGAAGGAAACCGTGTTTAGGAGTGGTGCTTCTCAGCTCAGCTGAATGCTGCAGTTTTAATGCAGTCGTCAAGATACGGAACCTCGTTGTGCTGACCTGAAGTATTTTAGCAGTATTTTACTTTAGCGGTGTCTTTAGTATAGAACAGTTGTGTGGTAGATTCAGCTGTATGAACCCAAGTAATTTGGAAGGAAAAGTAGGGGGTTTTGTATGTGCTTTTATATTGGAATTAACCATCGTTCCAACTTTTTATATACTGTATCTCATGTATGAAGAAATTGATTTGGGAAATTTTGATCTTTAATTTTGAAATACAGCAGTCTGAGTATTTATCATTGATTCTTAACTGCATAAACCGAGATAGAGCCTTCCTCCTTCTATGCCTGAGGAGGGTGTGTTGATAGGAAGGATCATCACAGATACATTGATCTTCATATATGAAGTTGGCCCTTGCTGGAGTCCCATTTGTTAGTTTTTGGTGTCACCCGGAGGTCACCCCAGGTCTCCTTCGGCTGCTCTCAGCTCACACCTCTGTGTTCTGAGGGTGTTCAGAGAGTCACTGCTTAGGAATGTGGAGTGTGGCCTTGCTTCCCACCAGGGCGGAGCCCAGGCCTCTTTGCCCCTGGGTACTAATCCTCCAGGAGGCAGAACATCTGCTGGAATGGGAGGTTCTAGAGAATGCAGCAGAACTTTTATATTATGTGACTCAACTGTGTTTTACTTGAGAGATAAATTTGCTGGGGGTGGGGAGACAATTTCTCCTTTAGTATTTATCACCATTCTAGTTTTAGCCTTCTTGATTTTAACGTTAGTGGCATGAAAAAGTAGTAAGAAATGAACTTTCAGGCTGAGCAAGATTGCTGGAGGGGTTCTATAATTTTTTTCCTAAACTGGTGCTTTCTGTACATGAGATGTACTGAGCTAAGTAATGCAGAACTTCCTTGGCAGGGAAATCCAGGAAGCTCCTTTCTCTGCATCCTTGTCATTGTGGAGTCAGGGGAGCTCCTGGGAGGGTTGGATGCATTCCCACGGTGCTACAGTAGTCCGGCCTGCGGATCTGGAAGCCATCCCCACCTGTCAAGGAGTATGCCCATTTTCAATATGAATATTTATGAGGGTCCTCCTTCCCCCGAGAGGTTGTATGTCGTCTTCTCTTTATAACAAGAGAAACTTTGAATCTTAATGAACTTTGTAGCTTTGGTAATGGTGGGTTTTCTTTCTCCTCGAGTCTAGGCCAAGCTGTGTGTAAGTCATCCATGTTATTTAAATGCTGTACTGTGTTGCTGTTTACATGGACGTTTGCGGGTGCTCTGAAGTGCCTTGCATCAGGGATTAGGAGCAATGGAATTATTTTTTCATGGGACTATTTAAGGCACGTAACTAGGCATTGCTGTAGAAAATAACTTGCAGATTTACAATAGACCTTTTTTAATTTGACTGCAGAAAATACCCCTTAAATTATGACAGGTGCCCACTAGAGAATGGGTTTTCCAAGTATACAATAATGGTGTTTTTCACTGAGCCTGACAGATGCATAGTGCTTATTGCTATATCCTGTATGTGACAGTATAAGACTTTTTCATTAAATAATGCTGAAAGGTTTTTAAATTCATTTGAAAGTCTGATGGTATTTACAATAAAAAAAATCTTGAGAACAGCTGCCCTTAGACTATGCTTTTTTTTCTAGCCAAACTTAATGGTTTTCTCCTCCCCCTGCCTTTTCAACCTGCATCATCTAACCTTCTGATGTTTAGCACACAAAATAATATACAGGGTGGAAAGTTTTTAAAAATCTAGGAAAATTTTATTTCTTCAGACCTCCGTGTTTTGGAAGTAACAATTCTATAAAAGACAAGATTTGACAGCCTGTTAAAACTCTAACCCGTGTGTGAAAAAGGCATTGAGGAGATGCTGCAGCTGTGGCCGCCGTCCAGCAGGAAGCACACTGGTTGCCGACGCCTCTGGGGCTCCTTTTAGCAACGTCTCGCTCCCAGAACCATGGTCTCCACAACAACCACTTGTGCTTAAGGCAGCACGTCCATGCTCCCTGGTCCAAGTCCAGTCTGCACAAAGAAGTTTCTGGTTCTCATGTGGGGGATCAGCTGTGTGGAAGGCACTGCTCATAAAGAACAGTGCGATAGAAGGCTACAAAGGGACAGTTCCACCTTTTTATATAGGGAGTTTTTAAAATGTTGAGTACTATCAGCTATTGTGACGGAGTTTAAATATCCCAGCAGGGTCGGGGACAAACCAGCTTTCCCATAAGTCGTTGTGAACACTTGGGAAGTCCCAGGGTTTGTGCCTTCCATTCCAGTGCAGTAACTTGGCTTCCTGCAGGAAGTGCTCCGAGTACCTGGCGTCAGGATTCCAGCCTGTGTCACAAGCAGAGGGAAAGAACAGGCTTGTTAGAGAATACAGTCTTTACGGTAGCTTTGAATAAGTTCATGTTCTGAGAAAAAAACAAAGGCTTTTGCCATGAGGAATTTCCACCCACCGCAGATCTCCAAAGCGGCCATAATTTACAGTCTGCGATGTTAGTAATGTTGTGCGTGCCTACCTGTACAAAGAAGTGTGTTCCAAAAAATCCATGGGAAATGGAAGTAAGAGATAAGCTGATTTTGCTACAAAAGGTTCTGAAATTCATGTTTCCATGGAAGGGAATTTAGTGTTTTTTCATTTATTAGGATTTATTTGAAAGGCAGAATACCAGGGAGACAGACAGCACTTGTCCTGGGCACTGGTTCACACTGCCCCCAAGTGGCCACAGCAGACACGGGGGTAAGCCACAAGCCTGCAGATCTATCCAAATTTCCCATCAGGTAGTGGGGGCCCAACTACCGAGGTTTAATTATCTGCTGCCTTCTCTGCTCTAGCATGGAGCTAGATAAGAAGCATAGCAACCAGGACTTGAACAAGCTCTGATACAGGGTGCCAGCAGCACAAACAGAAGCTTAACCTACCTCACCACAATGCCAGCCCCTCAGGGGCTTTTTTTTTTTTTTTAAGATTTTTTAATTTTTATTGTAAATTTTTAGAGAGAGGAGGAGAGACAGAGAGTAGGATCTTCTGTCTGATGATTCACTCCCCAAGTGACCGCAATGGCTGGAGCTGAGCCGATCCAAAACCAGGAGCCAGGAACTTCTTCCGGGTCTCCCATGCGGGTGCAGGATCCCAAGGCTTTGGGCCATCTTTGACTGCTTTCCCAGGCCACAAGCAGGGCGCTGGATGGGAAGAGGGGCTGTCAGGATTAGAAACAGCACATTCAAGGCAATGGCTTTAGCTGCTAGGCCTTCCCCCTCAGTGTTATTTTAAAACATCTCCAAGGCCACTGAGTAGAGAGGACAATTAGCAAGAACATGTTAGTCTGATTTATGATGTTGACAAAGTCTGGCTTAGTGTTTGTAAAACTAGCTGAGAAGGTGGCTGCACAGCTGGTTTCCAGCTGTAGTACGATAACGAGTGATTTCTAGGTGCAGGCAGTCTGCACAAAGGAAATGCTCTGTGAGTGAGGGCCGTGCCCAGTGAGTGCCTCCTTCAGAGTTCTGTGAGTGAGGGCCAAATTTAACGCCTGTTAGTGTTAGATTGCTTTATGCCTTCAAAACACCAAAGTATTTGTGTAGATACAGCTTTACAGATTATCCCTGATTCCAGATCCTTCCAGAGTAAAATGACAGCTCTCATTTCTACATGTCAGTAAGCTCAGAAAGTAAGCTATATCATAACATGCAGTGCACCGTCTCTGTTCCAGGACCACAGCACATTCAGACCTTATCATGGTACGCTCTGTATAGACCTACTTTGATGGAAATTTCTGTACACAGAAATGCCATTTGATTTAAAGCCTAAAGTTACTACACACCAAAAAATGACCACACTAGGACCTGTAGTGTCCCTTGGGTGCCCGCAGATGCTCAGGAACATCGAGAGCTTCAGTAGGGGACATGTAAGTGCACACAGGACTGCTAAGAGCAGACCAATACCCGGCATCCATAGTTAATGTCTGCTTTCGTTGTAGCAGAAGCAGGGATCTTTTCAGGACTGTGAGAATTGGAAGTAATACTTTTATCAGCCCACCATAGGCCAGTGCTTAACATGAGTACTTAGTCAACACGTTCGTATCCATTCTCTAAATCCCCAAGGTGAAAACAGAAGCCTTTTTGATGACTCCTTTGGCAGTAAACCTTAAATCGCACACAGAGTCACATTTCCCGTTTTTAAAATCTAAAGTATTTCCAAATTTCTCAACAATCCTGGCTCACTTTGTTAGGGGCCGGTGTTGTAGCTTAGCCAGCAAGGCTGCCAACTGCAACACCTGCATCCCATATGGGTACTGCTGGTGTCCCAGCTGCTGCACTTCCAATCCAGGATCACAGCTGATGGCCTAGAAAAGCAGTGGAGGGTGGCCAAAGTCATGGTTCCCTGCTACCCAGGTTGGAGACCAGATGAAGCTTGTGGCTTAGGCGTGGCCTGCCCCTGGTCATTGTGGCCATTCAGGGAGTGAGCTGATGAATGGAATGTAATCTTTCTCTTCTTCACCATAAGTCTGACTTTCAAATAAATAAAATCTCTAAAGAACAACAAACAAAAAAATATGAATGTGTTCCCAATGCCAGACTCTTCTAAAAAAAAAACAGTTCATGTGTATTTGATTCTAATTGATTCACCTAAGATTACATAATGGCCGATTTGGGCTCCAAATTCATAGCGTAGACCTGCATTCTTGGAGTAAACAAAACACGGGTAAATAAGTGTCTGTTAATTGTGGGGCTGGCTCCATGGCACTGGCATCTCATATGGGCACCTGTTTCGAGTTTCAGCTACTCTACATCTGACCCAACTCCCTGCTTATGGCCTGGGAAAGCAGAGGAGGATGGCTCAAATTCTTGAGTACGTGCATGCATGTGGAAGACCCAGAGGAGGCTCCAGGCTCCTGGCTTCAGATCAGCTCAGCTCCAGCCGTTGCAGCCATTTGGGGAGTGAGCCAGTGGATGGAAGGTTTGTCTCTCTGTCTCTCCTTCACTCTGTAAATCTGCCTTTTAGATTAAAATAAAGAAAGCTTTAAAATGAGAGAGGGCCTGGTGCAGTAGCCTACCGGCTAAAGTCTTAGCTTCACACCAGCCAAGATCCCATTTGGGCGCCAGATCTAATCCATCCTGGCAGCCCCACTTGCCATGCAGCTCCCTGCTTGTGGCCTGGGAAAGCAGACGAGGACAGCACAAAGCCTTGGGACCCTGCACCCGCATGGGAGACCCGGAAGAGGCTCCTGGCTCAGCTCCAGCCGTTGTGATCATTGGGGAGTTCTTCTCTGTCTCTCCTCTCTTATATCTGACTTTACAATAAAAATAAATAAGTCTTTAAAAAGAGAGAAAGAGAGAGAATGTAACGCCAGCTCATCTCAGACAACCATAGGCCATTGTACAACTGGTTTTGTCCACAGCAGCAATAAGGCATGCAAAAAAGTCCTGAGTTACATTTTAACCACAATGAAGTCAGATAAGGCACACAATTATGTACTAATTATTCATGTAATAACTTTTCATGAATTCCTAGAAGCGCAGCCATGGTGGCTAAGGAAATCAGCTGCATTGGCAGAATCTGAGCACCGAAGTAGAGTGACACCCCAAGTCATGAGGAGTTGTACCTGTTCACTGGGTCTACCAGATGGACATTTGCAGTTTCTCTGGAACACTTACCCAGGTGCCTGATGTGCCACAGGGGGTTGATGGTGGAATGTTTCCCATGAAACACGATCAGCATGGGAGAGGTGGCAACCCCTCCACCCAGGGAGCTGCTGTACAGGTTCTCCCTAGGATGGAATGGAAAAGTGTCATTTGGCCTGAGTCCCCACAAACTCAGCGTACAACTAAACACTTTTAAAATATGTACACGGTGCACTCTGTTAGAATGCCAGGAGGTCATAACACACATCACCCACATTCACAGAGTGTCGATTTTTTTTTTTAAGATTTATTTTTATTGGAAAGGCAGATATATAGAGAGGAGGGGAGACAGAGAGGAAGATCTTCCATCTGATGGTTCACTCCCCAAGCGGCTGCAACTGCTGAAGTTGAGCCAATCTGAAGCCAGGAGACTCTTCTGGGTCTCCCATGCCAGTACAGGGTCCCAAAGCCTTGGGCCGTTCTCGACTGCCTTCCCAGGCCACAAGCAGGGAGCTGGATGGGAAGTGGAGCCATCAGGATCAGAACTGATGTACACATGAGATCCCGGTGTGTTCAAGGCGAGGACTTTAACTGCTACGGTATCATGCTGGGCCTGAGTGTTGATGTTTTAATAGTACTTTGTCTACTATTAAAGATCAAATTCTGACCCTGTATTAGCTGGGTTAACTTACAAATTCAAGGTTATGATGGTATTAAGATATCCAGATTTAAAAAAAGACTGAAATGGATGGGGCCAGCATTGTGGTGTAACATGTTAAACCTCAGCCTGTGACACCGATATCCCTATGATTGCTGGCCCACACCCCAGCTGCTCCACTTCCAACCAGCTCCCTACAAACGCACCCGAGCAAGCAGCAGAAGTAGCTCAAGTATTTGTGTCCCTGCCACCTAAAGGGGAGACCTTTACTAAAGAAGATTCTGGCTTCAGCTTGGTCTAGCCAGCATTGTGGCCATTTGGGGAATGAACCAATGAATGGAAGATCTCTCTGTTTCTCCCTCACTCTCTCTGTGACTGCCTTTCAATTTTTTTTTTTTTTTAACAACAAAAAGACTGTGACGCCAGTGCCATGGCTCAACTAGCTAATCCTCTGCCTGCAGGCGCTGGCCTCCCAGATGGGCACCAGTCTGTGTCCCAACTGCTCCACTTCTGTTCGGCTCCCTGCTTACTGTCTGAGAAAGCAGTGAGGGATAGCTCAAGTCCATGGGACCCTGCACCCCTGTGGGAGACCAGAAAAAACTCCAGGCTCCCAGCTTCAATTTGGCTCAGCTCCAGCTGTTGTGGCCAACTAAGCAGTGAACCAGTGTCTCTATGTTTCTCCTCTCTGTAAATCTTTAAAAAAAAAAAAAGTGGTTCATATTTTTTTTTAAAAAATGACTCATAAAACACAATGATAGGATAATAGTGGCTGGGTTACAGTTACTTTACTTTTAAACATTAATAATGAAAAGTTGTAATTTTAAAAAATCAACCTTAAAAGGCGAAAGTGACATGACATACTCCTTAAGCATAAATTTTCATCAGGACAAACGTGACTAACGTAAAGGAGGTGACCAGTGGAGAATATTCAAGTCACACTGTTGTTAGGACAGTGCATGAGGCTCCTTCACAGGAGCTTGGTTCTTCTGATATCAGTTGAGGAGAGATTTTTATCTACTGCCCCCATTTTCTTTCTCAAAAGTGCCTCTATAAAAAAAAACCCTGTGAAACACATCTAACCCCTGAGCTATGCATAGAAAATGAACAGAATTATTTTATGCCCGAGCATGGGAAGAATGCTAACCCAACACATACTCCACATTTTTCTGCATCCATTTCTCCAGTTGCTTGGTGATACGCTGGTGTTTCCATTCCGTCATGTTGGCTACAATCACGCCGGGATTGAAAGAGCAGGTGCTGGGGCTGATGCCAAGGTCCTTTATGGTCTTCTTCCGATAGTCCAGATAGCCCATGTATGTGTTCTGGAAAGGAATGGGGCACATGTGCTTTTGAGCTGTCACTTCAATCTCCACCTTTTTCATTGGCTACTTCCTCGCTGGTTCTGCTTGCTGGTCTGTCTTCCTCTAGAGGCCCAGTGCTCCACTCTCACCCCCAGCACCTGTTCCCTTTGCTGGCACTGACTGCCAAGCAGCCACATCGAGGCTCTTGGCTCTGACTGCCGTCTGTCTGTCAGCTTTGCCCTCTCCCCAGAGTCCAGTTCCTGCTGTCTGCCAACTCAGTGTCTCCTGCTGTATGCTTACTAGGGCAGCTCCAAACGGGTCCTAAGCCCATGCCAAGCCTGCTTTGCCTCTACCTGCTCCACCCCTGTGAGTGGCCACTCTGTCCTTCTGGTTCCTCGGGCAGGAGGCCCAGAGCAATAGGTTTTGCCCTGACTTCATTCTCACCCACCTCTCATCCAAGTGCATCAGCAAGTCCTGTTGCTCACACCTTCAAAGCATGTCCAGGAACGACTGCTCCTCTTGCCTCAACTGCCTGTTCCAGTCACGGGAATTTCTGCAACTGCCTCCTCACCAGGTCCCTACTTCCGCCCTCAAGAACTCCACTCTGTCTCTGCATCACTCATTTCTTCACCGCCCTTTCAATGATGTCCTATTTCATCCATGGTAAAAAGCCAGAGTTCCTAAAATGCTTGCCATGTGCTACACATTTTAGCCACCCATTCCTTCTCCAATTTCTGCTATATTCCCCCAGTTCTTCTGACACCAGGTTCGCTCAGGCCCTTTGCACTGGCTGTTGGCTTATTCCTGGAGTGTCTGCTCCTTCAGTACCTGCCTCGATGTTTCACTCAGTTCTCCCAGGTAAGGGCACAAACCACACCAACTCTGTGGAGCCTCACCCAATTTCAATACAACCCCACCTCTGCTGTGATTCTTGGTTACATAATTCACTTGTTCACTGTCTTCTCCTTGGAATGTAAGCTACACAAAGGCAGCAATTCAGGTTTTGTTCCCTGTTTTACCAGGACCCAAAGCAGGATAAGTAAGCATGGATAAGTAAGTAAATAAATGTAGTGGGAGGAAGCATATATTCTTTCATCCAAAGAGATCATCATAATGCACTTTAATACAATGTTCCTAAATATGACTCCAGGGTGGCAGAAATACTCGAGCACTTTCTGGGTACCAGGCACTGCCCTAAGAAATTTCTAGGCATTACTTCATTCACAGCATGTCTTTGCTCATTTAATTCCCACAATCACTGTACAAGTGAAGTATGACTAGTACTTCTGTTGCCAACTAGTGGCAGGAAGGGGGGATGATTGGCCAGGCAAATTGCCCAAGGCCATAAAGCTAGTGACAGCACCAAGGTTCTGAGACAGTTGGATCTGGTACCAGAACCTACACGTTAAGATGCCTTAAATGTCACAAAAATAAAATGATTTGCCAAACATGCTTTTGAAGGACAGCATACAATTCATAAATAATAACCCCTCATATTTCAAAACCATTCCTCAGTTTCAGTATTAGACATAGGTTCAGTTTCCCTTATTTCCACCAGGGTAAAGAGATACAGATATCTCTGAACAAAATACTTTGTCCTACTAAAAGGTGATGGGAGAGCAATGGTCCCAACTCCACAAACAGAGCCAGCATTTCAGCAAGTGTCTTAGTGAATGCATCAAGTCTGTAACAGTGTGGTTAGGAACACCCCAACTAAGTCATTTCTGGAGCTGGACACTTGGACATGGCATTATTTCATCTCAGCTCAGAAACTGCAACCTAGGACAGCTTCTAGGTCTCCGATAACGGAAAGTAGGACTTTGCAGGATGAAAGTGACTGGCCCCAGAGATGATAAGGAACAGAGCTGTGGGAGGAACGGGAAGACCAACCCCATGCACTGCTCCCCTCTTTCCCACCAGCAGCACACACAAATGGGTTTCCCAGGTGTGTAGGGTATGTGTTCCAAGTTGAAAAGCAGGCAGGGTCAAAGCAGCAGAGAGCCGGGTCTTGGAGTCAAGTGTCCCTACCTGAAGTCCCACTAGTCTGCTTATATCCTGGGAAGAGGGCAAATCGCAGTCATCAGAGAAAGCTGCTGCATGGCCCAGGGCCAAGGTGGTGTCGTACAGCTCTTGGATGTCACCTGCATTGAGACGTGTCACAGTTTAAATGGGACAGTGTTTGTGCAGGCTGGGCAGTCTTAGAGCTCAATTCCTGAGGTTTCTGTAAAGGAAGACTATGAGATCCCTGATTCCAGTGGATGGGCAAGTTGCATAGAAGCTTGTGCCAATTGAGGAAAAACACTTAATAGATTCAAACTAACATCAAATTTCATTTCAGTTGCTGTACAGGTAGCACACCAACACTTCTTGCAGGTGTGGGTACATAGTAGTCCTCAGAAAGGCAACTGGATTGTCTGGGAGAGTTTATCTCCTTGAGAAAACTTCCCATTGTACAATAATGCTGCATCCCAAGATTAGTTAGCAAAATCACTCAGCAACTAGCTGCAGGGAAAGCGAGGGAACACGTGATGTTCATCAGAGAGCCTTTCCCAAGGGTTCAGGCAGTCAGCGAGTCTACCTTGTACAATGACGTCATCGTCCAAGTAGATGACTTTCTCATGCTGGTGGATCAGCAGGGGGAGGTAAAATCGAACAAAGTTCAGCTGTTAAAACAAAAACACAAACAGGGCGTGCAGCTTGGACCGTGGCCTCCATTCAGCTCCAGGTTTGGAACAGAATACAGAGTTACACAAACACCTCTCCCAGCTTCTTCCTGTCCCATTGTTACTGAACCCTGGGCTGATTTCAGCACCAGCAGACCAGGAACTCTCCCATGCCACATACACTTTCTACTTTCCCCAAGTTGCTGTGGCAGGCTGGCAGAGGCCTCCTGGTCTACCTTTAAGGGAAAAACCAGGCTGTCTTTTTTTTTTATTTGTTTTTTTTTTTAAGGATTTATGTATTTATCTTGTATTGGAAAGGTAGATTTTTTTATGGAAAGTCAGAGAGTTCATCCATCCACTGGTTTACTCCCAAAATGGCTGCAATAGCCAGAGCTGAGCCAGTCTGAAGCCAGAGCATCTTCTGGGGCTCACCACATGGGTACAGGGTCCCAAGGCTTTGGGCTGTCCTCTACTGCTTTCCTAAGCCAAAAGCAGGGAGTTGGATGGGGCAGTTGGGACATGAACCAGCACCCATATGGGATCTCAGCACTTGAAGGTTTAGGATTAGCCAATTGAGCCCCTGTGCTGGACCTGACTGCCTTCTGTGTTCACTCATTTTGTTAGACACCCACCACTGAATCCCACACACACAAAAGCACATGCATCATTCCCACACTTAGCTCAACCTTTTGGCTCCAAGGAGTTTTAAAGTTTCTAGTTAAACACTCTAATTCAGATTGCACTCTGACAAATACCTGGAGTTGGGGAAACATGGCATCAGAGACAAAATGCTTCGACTACTATATCCAGATGTGAAGCTACAATGCAATATGCATCCTTACTTCTAAATCAAAGATGGACTCCCAATGAAACTGCTGGACATGTCTAGACAATGGGAGGCTAGACTGTCATTGGCTATACCAGCAATGTCAGGGCACACTTAAATAACAGACGGATGGAATTATAACTTATTATGAAGGACTATACTATTATGGGGAAAATCAGTCAGGGGGAGGGAATTTGGGCATGAGGAATCTCAGACCCTACACAATTATACCATGAAATTAAAAAAAAAAAAACAACTGTAGTACATTTTCAAGAATGGGTTTAAGTAATAACTATTACCTGAAGGTGGATGCACTATCTGTACAACTGCCACAATGCCCCCTTTTCATTTTTTAAACATTTTATTGGAAAGCCAAATTTACAGAGAGAAGGAGATAAAGATCTTCCATAGACGGGTTGTTTTTTGTAAGTCTTACGATTAAATCTCTAAAAATTTCCAGGCCAGGAAAAAAAAAAACATGCGCTAGTCAACATTAGGAAGTATTATTGTATCGTGCTTTTCTTCATAGCTTCTAGCAAACCCAGAGCCAGGTCTGATGTGCAGTGGCACAGGCTGAGGTTTGAGGTGTTTTTTCCTGGCCCACTTCTAACTCCTTGTCCTATAGACATGTTCAAACACAGAAATGCATCTTACATTTCTAATGCTTCATCATGCTTAGGTAAACAGGCTTAAGTTCTTTGGGGAGCAGGTGGTTTATAAATTGTAAATGAGCAGAGGGGTAGGCGTTGGGTGTAGCAATTAAAGCACCAGTTTAAATGCCTGGTCCCACATCGAAGTTGCTGGGTTCGAGTCCTGGCTCCTCTCCTAGTTCCAGCTTCCGACTAAGACACACCTGGGGAGGTGGCAGGCAATGGCTCCAGTGCTTGGTCCCATATGGGAAACTCAGAGTTCTTGGTTCTTGGAACTTCTGCCTGACCCAGCACTGGATGTTATGGCACTTGGTGAGCGAAGCAGTGGACAGGAGACCTCTCTGTAGCTGTTCTTCTACCTTTTTGTGTCTGTCCTTCTACCTTTTCTCTTTTTAAGATTTATTTGTCTTTATTGGAAAAGGCAGATTTACAGAGAGAAGGCGAGATGAGAGAGAGATCCGTCTGTTGGTTCATTCCCCAAGTGGCCACAATGGCTGAAGTTGTGCCAATCCAGAGCCAGGAGTTTCTTCTGGGTCTTCCACACGGGTGTAGAGTCCCAAGGCTTTGGGCCATCCTCTCCTGCTTTCCCAGGCCACAAACAGGGAGCTGGATGGGAAATGAGACTTGAACTGGTGCCCATAGGGGATCCTGGCGCTTGCAAGCAAGGATTTAGCCACTAGGTTACTGGGCTGGGCCCATCTACCTTTTGAATAATTTAAAAAAAAAAAAGAGTAGTGTAAGCAGTGTTTGGTGGCAATCTAACACTGTGAGGGTCCGAAGCACTGTGCATGCCTGCTAGTGGCTGCTGCTCCCTGTGGACCAGGGCCTTCCTCAGTGCGGCCACAGCCCCTGCATGCCTCCTACTCACAGGCTGTAGCAATTCAGGCCTCGATGAGTCTGGTCGGATCTTCCCTTTGAGCACCATCGGGTTGAACTCCACAATCTTAAAGTTTATCTCTTTCAGCTTAGAATGTTCAATCCATTTCCTAAAGAGATGAGAAAAAAACATCCTCTTGTACTCGCTTCCAGGCTCTTTTCCATTTGCCTTTTGCCTCGGGATCTGTGCCTCTCCAGGAACATAAAAAGAAAATGTGTTTGGCCTATGAATCCTTTTGATTCTTTCCCCATCTGTTCTAGATTGATTTTTTTTTTTAATCTTCACATAACTCGGCAAAGGAAAGGAAGCAAAATAGTAAAAATCAAATTACTTCTTGGACTTGGATAATCTCTCCCGGACAGTGGGGGAACAAAAGCATTCTTTTTTCTTCCCAAAGCAGCATCTACAGCTCTTGAAACACACTTGGCCATGTGGTGACAGCTCTCAGTCAGGAAGAAACAAGACTTTGACCCTGCGGCTTTAACTAAAGGCATCTGCCCTCCAAGACTGACTTGAGTTCGTCTTTGTCTCTCTCTCTTTTTTAAAGATTTATTTTATTTTTATTGGAAAGTCAGATATATAGAGAGTGGAGGAGAGACAGGGAGATCTTCCGTCCATTGATTCACTCCCCAAGCAGCTGCAATGGCCAGAGCTGCACCAATCCGAAGCCAGGAGCCAGGAACTTCCTCTAAGTCTCCCATGCGGGTGCAGGGTCCCAAGGCTTTGGGCCATCCAAGACTGCTTTCCCAGGCCACAAGCAGGGAGCTGGATGGGAAGTGGAGCTGCCAGGATTAGAACTGGCGCCCATATGGGATCCTGGCACTTTCAAGGCGAGGACTTTAGCCACTAGGCCACCGTGCCTTCGTCTCTTTGACCTGAACTCTGATCTTCCACATCTGGCCTCAACTGCCACCTTCTCTTCCTCCTTCCTCTTCTCTGCCTTTCCATTTCCTCCCTCTAACAGATTGTCTTTTATACTGTCCATAATGAGATTTTTTGATACATATAATCTCAAAATAGAATTTCCAACAATTAAAGTCACATATGGTAGCATTTGTTGTGTTGCTGATTAAAATTTGACGAAAGAGTGGCTGACATTGTGGTGCAGTACATTAAGCTTCTTGGGGCATGATGGCTCAGTTGGCCGGGCCTCCCCGCTTCAAGTGCTGGGATCCCATGCAGGCACTTGTTTATGCCCCACTGCTACACTTCCCATCCAGCTTCCTACTTGTGACCTTGGAAGGCAGAGGAGGATGGTTCTGGAGGAAGGTCTTTCTGCCTTTCTCTGTGGATCTGCCTTTCCACTGAAAATAAATGATTCTTTTTTTTTTTTTTTCTTAAAGCTTGCTGATACCTGCATCCCATGTAAACACTGGTTCAAGTCCTGCTTGCCCCAGTTCTGATCCATCTTCCTGATAATGTGCCTCAAAAACCAGCAGATAATGGTCCAAGCGCTTGGGCCCTGCACCTATGTGGGAGACTGAAATGGAGTTGCAGACTCCTGGCTTCAGCCTGACCCAGCTCAACTAAGATGGCCATTTGGGAGTGAACAAGCAGATTCAGAACCTGCATCTCATATCATAGTGTCTGATCTGAGCTGGGGCTACAACATACTTTATTTTTTATTTTTATTAGAAAGGCACATTTACAGAGAAAAGGAAAAACAAAGATCTTCCATCTCCTGGTTCACTATCAAAATAGCTGCAACAGCTGGAGCTGAGCCGATCTGAAGCCAGGAGTCAGGAATTTCTTCTGGGTCTCCAGAAGATTATGCAGGTGCATAATCCCAAAGCATTGGGCCATTCTGCTATCTCCAATATGGACTGGCTGTTTGTTTTTCCAGTCCATAAGCAGAGCCAGAACATGAACTGGCACCCATCTGGGATACCAGGTGGACAATTAGCTAGTGTGGCCCAGTGCACGCTTAAAAAAAAATGTATTTATTGTAAGTCAGAGTTACAGAAAAAGAACACACACGTACGGGGGCCTGGGGGGAGATGGAGAGAGACCTTCTATCAACTGGGTTATTCCTCAAATGGCTGTTATCAATCAGGGCTGAGAAGCCAGGAACTTTTTTTTTTTTCATTTAAAAGTCAAATTTACAGAGAGAAGGAGAGAGAGAAAAATCTTCCATCCATTGGTTCACTCCCCAAGTAGCCACAATGGCGAGAGCTGAGCCAGAGAAGCTAGGAGCCTGGAGCTTTTTCCAGTCTTCCACATGGGTGCAGGGTCCCAAGGTTTTTGGGCCATTCTCAACTGCTTTCCCAGGCCACAAACAGGGATTTGAATGGAAAGAGGGGCTGCTGGGATTAGAACCACTGCCTATATGGTATCCTGGTACGTTCAAGTCAAGGACTTTAGCTACCAGGCCAGGCCCCAGGAGCTTTTTTTGTCCAAATTTCTCATGTGGGTTCAGGAGCTCAAAACACTCGGACCCTCCTCCACTGCCTTCCCAGCGGCATTACCAGGGATCTGGCTCAGAAATGAAGCAGTGGGACTTGAACTGGCACTCTGATATGGGATACTGGCATTGAAGGTGGCAGCTTAATTTGCAGTGCCATAACAGTGATCCCCAGCCCTTGTTCATCCTAACGGGAATTACCAATCCAAAAGGAAGATGATTCACTCAAGGAAAGCTATGAAGAGTGAAAGTTGGCAGAATGCTCCCCCAATGTGTCACATACAAATTACCGAATCCGAGTCAGAGTGTTCCGCAGTCCAACCACATAGAAGAGAATGTTGGCGTCGGTGTTGCTGTAGATGCTGTTGATGGCAGCCATGGCAGCACCCATCCTCCCCGCGGCCGCACAGATCACCACGGGAATCTCCTCCTCCACTTCCTCTGGAGTCTCGGCGTCCTCATCTGCAAACATCCAAATCAGTGCCTTAGAATAGAACGAGCTTGCACAGGTGCGCCAGTGTTAGCTGTCCCCCACACTCCTCAGGTTAGGCTGCACAGTGTAGAAGGGACTGCTGCCCTTTTCCAATAGCCAGTTTTCTGCTTCTTCCCACAGAAAAGAATGGGGGTGGCATAGCATTGTGGCACACCAGCTGCTCCACTTCCAATTCAGCTACCTTCTGGTGTACCAGGGAAGGCAGTAGAAGACAGTCCAAGTCTTTGGGTTCCTATACCCTCATGATAGATCATGATGCAGTTCTAGGATCCTAGCTTTGGACTGCGCTTGCTCAAGTCATTGTGGCCCCTTGGGGAGGGAACCAGTGGATGCAGAATCAATGTCTTTCTCTCTCTCTCTTTGCCTCTGTGTGTGTGTGTGTGTGTGTGTGTGTGTGTGTGTGTGTGTCTCTATCACTCTGCCTTTAAAATAAAATAAAAATGGAGCCAGACACACAATAGCCAAGTGGCTAAATCCTCATCTTATATTCACCAGGATCCCATGTGGGCACCAGTTCATGTCCTGGATGCTCCACTTCCTGTCCAGCTCCCTGCTTGTGGCCTGGGAAAGTATTGGAGGATGGTCCAAAGCCTTGGGACCCTGCACCCATGTGAGAGACCCAGAGGAGGCTCCTGTTCCTGGCTTCGAATTGGCTCAGCTCCTGCCATTGTGGTCACCTGTGGAGTGAACCAGCGGATGGAAGATCTCTCTGTGTATCGTTCTCTCTGTATATCTGCCCTTGAGATATAATAAATAAATCTTCTAAAAAATAATAAAATAAAAATGTTGGGACTCTTGCTGGTACACAGCCATTTACTAAGACTATTTTTCCTACACCCTGTTGTTGCTGCATGTGATCAAGTTCAAATCCATGAGATGTTACTTCATGTGATACATGTAACTGCTAGAACTGCCCTTCAGAGGAATCTGCTTACTGCCACTCCCTTTATCCTTCCTCTTTCCCATCAGCTGAAACATTGATTTGTTGGCTGAGGTGAGAGCAGGCAACCCCAAGAGGGAGGCTACCTGTTGAGGACACCAACACCTAAAGACAAACTGAATCTTGACCTAGATGATAGTGAATCTGACGTATCCAGCTTTCACTAGAGGAGAAAGTAAATTTCTCTTTTGTTTAAATCACTGTTGTTTTGGAGCTCTCTGACAGGAGCCAGATACACACCACACACGCACTGCTGGACAACATAACAATGAGAAGCCTTCTTTGTTCAACAGCCCTCAATACCTCCCCGAGCCTCCACCTTCCCTCCACAGCTGCAGAATAAGCTGCATGTGACTCCCCTCCCCGAGCCTAGTTTCTCAACGCTGACGGCAAGAGAGGAGGAAAGTGCAAGTTCAAAACTAACACACAAAAGGAAGAAGTGACGACTGTTTCTAGTATCACTGGAAACATGCAAAGTGTTAATGCCGCAAGATCATGCTTTGCTTCTGGAACTTTCAGATATGAAGAATAATCGTCGGTATGCAGAGTGTCTGCTAGCAAACACCCACCTAATTTTCCTGAAAGTTTTCTCTCTCTACAGACGTCTTTGGGCAGCACCTCCTTCCTTCAGGGCTAGGGTAGTTCTGGCTGATATTTAATTCAATCATCAATTATGGACTTGACCTTCCAGGAACTTGCTTTGTGTCATTTGAGAATAATTATATGGGCCCCCTTTTCTCCTTGTACATCATTCCCTCCAGCTAGCAAGGACATTTGAAATTTCCATCACCAGAACATTGTTTTTAGGATGATTGATTGACATGAGAGCGTAATTATAATATGCAAGCATTATAAAAAGAGGAAATACAAAATTCTCTCTAGTAGCTGATACCAATGTGAGACATGCATATTTTTAAATGTTCCTATATTTATTTGTATGATTATGAAAGATTGTGTCTTATATTTTCAGATTATCTAAAACAGTCACAAGTTATTTATGTAAATAGGGCAAAATATAGTTTCTCAAGGTCTGTTCCTTATGGCCTCGATTGTCATCCTGGGAGGTCCCCAGACCAAGGGTATTTTATCCACAGGCAATGAAGTGATCTGCCTGAAATGCAAATCTGTCTGTACTTTATTGCCGAGAGTCCTTCAGTATTTCCTAAAAGGTAAAAAGCCACATTTCTTGGTTAGCCACCCAATATCCCTCCCAAGTCATCCCATGCTCACCTCCCCAGCCTTATTGGCTCCCATGAGAGCAAGATCAAACTCATGGCCCTCCTAGCATGATTCCACGCTGTCTGCTGCCTCAGGGTCTTTGTGCACACTCGTCCTGATGCCTGGGATGCTCTTTGAATCCTTTCTTGCAGGGCAACCTCTTTCCTGCTCATTCTGGTTGCAGTACAGACTTCAGGGAGCCTCTAACAGCTCTATACCCAAACCAGCCTGTCCCTTGGTTTTCACCTTGTGATGGGAGTGACTACATTGCCACGAGTCTGGATGCATGTCTTTCCTGTTACACTGGCTGTTCTGTGTGGCAGAGATGGTGTCTTGCTCATCTGTGTCCTCTATACCTACCCTAGTGCACGGCACACAGCAGACGCTCCTTACACGTGGATGGGTTTATTAGACACTACTATTTGAGCACTCATCACACTGTACTGGAAGAATTTACATGTCTGTCTGCCCCCATTGGACCATAAGCCCATGAATTTGGCATATTGAAAGTACATAATCAAAGGTTGCTGAAAGGAATGATATTGAACTGATGGATTGGCTCTAAAGAATCGGATCATGGAACAATGATTCATGGTCTATACCTAGGAACAAAGTGATAAGGAAGAGCTGAGAAGCTGAGACACAGCCCAACTGCCAAGCCCAAGGAAGTCTTTCACAGACAACAGGCAGCAGGAAGTGGGAGAGAGACAGCATCCCAACAGTACAGCATTGAGTGGACATTACCCTGCCACACTTCTGAAGAGTCACTCCACCAGAGAAGCAGGGAGCAACCTCAGCCAAAAATACTGATCTCTTCCAAGAAATCTCTCCTGGACAGAACGAAGAATGAAGGACCGTTGAGCAAACGCAAGGGAAGGCTAGCCAACTGTAGATTCCCCACTAATGCTCCTCTCTTGGCAACTTTTTCGGGCATTGTCTGTTGAACTATTTGTATCCATTGGTACCTGAGCCAATCTATTTAAAGATTTGGCTGTGGGCCCAGCATGGTGGCTAGTGGCTGAAGTCCTCGCCTTGAACATGCCCAGATCCTATTTGGGCACTGGTTCTAATCCCAGCAGCCCCGCTTCCCATCCAGCTCCCTGCTTGTGGCCTGGGAAAGCAGTTGAGGATGGTCCAAAGCCTTGGGACCCCACACCCATGTGGGAGACCTGGAAGAACTCCTGGCTTCTGGCTTTGGATTGGCGCAGCTCTAGCCATTGTGGCTACTTGGGGAGTGAATCAATGGATGGAAGATCTTCCTCTCTGTCTCTCCTCTCTATATGACTTTACAATAAAAATAAATAAATCTTAAAAAAAAAAGATTTGGCTGAGGGAAAACATATGGTGCCTAACAAAATGAGAGAACAAAATGACAATGACAGGATGAACTGGAAAGGACATTGCCTGAGTTCCTTTCCACAAGCTGATCTTAATTGTGGAAGAGGTGAAATATCTGCTCTGTCAAGGTCAATACCCAGAATCCCATTTAGAAAAGGATTATTTTAGCCCCAAAGTACTTTGCTGCAAATGAGACGGGAATGAGTTGCCAGCACACTAACTGCAAGGAAATGATCAAGAGAATACCTGTGTGTCATTGTTGCTAAGACACACAGAATGGCATGAAGATTTTGTCACATTGCAACCTCACCAGGCCTCTGAACACCAACTGATCACACTTGTTCTTTAAATCATTGTGGCTTTTTAAATTATAGAAATAATATGTATTTTGTTTTTTAGAGACTTGTTCATTTTTGTTGGAAAGGCAGACTCACAGAGAGGAGATTCAGTGAGAAAGATCTTCCATTTGTTGGTTCACTCCCCAGGTGGCCACAATAGCCAGAGCTGAGCTGGTCTGAAGCCAGGATTCTGGAGGTTTTTCCAGGACTCCCACACCCCTCTCACATGGGTACAGGATCCCAAGCTCCTGGGTCATCCTCTACTGCCTTCCCAGGCCACAAGCAAGGAGCTGGTTGGGAAGTATAGCTACCAAGACAGAAACTGGTGCCCATTGGGGATCCTGGTGCTTGCAAGGCGAGGATTTAGCCACTGAACTATCATGCCAGGCCTTAACATGCATTTCTTGAAATAATTTCAGCTCAAACAGAAGAGTATCTGGAAAAGTCATGACTGTATTTTTTAGGCGTCTCCACTCTCACTCCCAAGGCAGAGGCAGGTTACCCATATGGTGATTGCCCCCAAAACCTTTTTCAGGCAATTACATGAATAAGAGAAATGCACCACACATATGTATATTGAGTCACACTTTATCATACTTTTCTGCCATCTGCATTTCCTATTTAATCTACCGTTATCATCATGTCTATCAATACCTCCTGCTTCTGAAAGGAGTTTCCTAAAGTGGATTTATTTTCACTGTAACATTGAATGGGTTAACTGTAACACTGGATCCCCTCTGTGTGGTCCAGACACTTTGTTTATCTGTGGATAACCGACAAATTGGTCAGGATGCACATTTCCATGCAGTTGTTTCCACAGCTGCTCTAAGAATTGCCCGTTTCTTTGTGGAAAACAGAGTCTGTGGTCAGATTTACCATCCCATAGATGGGCTCATTTCTTTTTTTATTTTTAAAGATTTATTTATTTTTATTGCAAAGTCAGATATACAGAGAGGAGGAGAGACAGAAAGGAAGATCTTCTGTCCTACAATTCATTCCCTAAATGACCACAATGGCCGGAGCTGCACCTATCTGGAGCCAGGAGCCAGGAGTTCTTCCAGGTCTCCCAAATGGGTACAGGGTCCCAAGGCTTTGGGCTGTCCTCAACTGCTTTCCCAGGCCACAAGCAGGGAGCTGGATGGAAAGTGTGGCTGCTGGGATTAGAACCAGCACCCAAATAGGATTCTGGCACATGCAAGGCAAGGACTTTAGCCACAAGGCCACCACCCTGGACCCTAATTCAGCTCTTTAGTAATGCACTTGGCAAAGGTAGTGGAAGATGGCTGAGTTGCTGGACCCTTGAACTCACATGAAAGTCCTGGATAAAGCTTACAACTCTGACCTGGCCCATTCCCAGCAATTGTGACCATTTGGGAAGTAAACCAGCACGAGGTCTTTCTCTCTTATGCTACCTTTCAAGTTAATAAATAAGTCTTTAAAAAAACTCACCTACTTTAAGTGCTCAGTGATTTTTAGTATATCGATGGATTTGTGCAACCATCACCACAATCTAACTTGGAATACTTTCTTTACCCCAACTGCTAATCTGCTTGTTGTCTCCCTAGCTTTGCCTTTTCCATCAATTTTCACACAGGTAGAATCATACAATGTGGTGCCTGGGTCTTCCTTCTTTCACTGAGTACACTGTTTGAGATTCACCCGCGTTGAGCTTGCATCAGTAGTCTGTTCCTCTGAGTTCCTGGAAAGTACAGCACTGTGTGGACATACTATGTATCCTCTACCCCCCCCCCCCACTGGTTGACGTATGTTGGACTCTTTCCAGCTTATGGCTGTTATGACTACCATCCAATGAATATTCCCATACTGTATGCCTTTGTATGAGAATCAGCCTTTTCCCGTATGCTCCCAATATACATTTAGACCAATTATATGTGTTCTCAATATTTTAAAATGCTTTTTCCTAATCAAAAAAATACCAGAGGGCCCGGTTAGGTACCCTAACTGCTAAAGTCCTCACCTTGAATGCACTGGGATCCCATAGGTTTGCCGGTTCATGACCTAGCTGCTCCACTTCCCTTCCAGCTCCCTGCTTGTGGCTTGGGAAGGCAATTGAGGACAACCCAAAGCCTTGGAACCCTGCACCCGCATGGGAGACCCGGAAGAAGCTTCAGATTGGTGCAACTCCAGCCGTTGCGGCCACTTGGGAAGTGAATCAGCATATAGATCTCCCTCTCTGTCTCTTCTATCTGTATATCTGACTTTCCAATAAAAATAAACTAAATCTTAAAAAAAAAAAAAAAATAGGGCCCGGTATGGTGACCTAGCACTAAAGTCCTCGCCTTGAACACACTGGGATCCCATATGGGTGTTGGTTTTAATCCCGGCAGCTCCACTTCCCTTCCAGCTGCCTGCTTGTGTCCTGGAAAGGCAGTCGAGGACAGCCCAAAGTCTTGGGACCCTGAGCCCATGTGGAAGACCCAGAGGAAGTTCCTGGCTCCTGGCTTTGGATCCGTGCAGCTCTGGCTGTTGTGGTCACTTGGGGAGTGAATCATTGGACGGAAGATCTTCCTCTCTGTCTCTCCTCTTCTCTGTATATCTGACTTTGCAATAAAAATAAATAAATCTTTAAAAAAAAAAAACAGAGGTAATGTCAGCTTTATGAGAGTAGGGACATTCCCTTGTTAATTGTTATGTATCTAGTCCTTAGGCTCTGGGAGTTGTAAAGATTTATTTTTTTATTTAATTTCTTAAAAGGCAGAGCAACAGAGAGGGGCCAATACCTTCCATGCACTGGTTCACTCCCCACATGCCCACAGGAGCCAGGGTTGGGCCAGGGTGAAGCTAGAAGCCAGGAATTCCATTCTGGTCTACCAGGTTGGGAGCAGGAAGCCCAGTACTCGGGTTATCATCTTTTGCCTCCTTGGCACGTTAGTAGAAAGCTGGACTGGGAACAGATTCGGAATTTGAATTGGCACGCTGATACTTAATGTGAACATCCCAAGCAAAAACTTAACCTACACCACAATAGCTGCCTCTCAATTCTGGCCTTTTTCAAAAATGTGGAATAAACGTATATAATATACCATTGTTTCAACTGCATTTTGTCTTTGGCTGATGCACTTAGGGGTGCTATTTTTCTTTTCTGTATTTCCCATAAGTCAGTAGATCTGCTTGACGAGTGTAAGTAGAGGAGCTGAAGACAGATTGACTTTGTATATGTGTTGAGGTTCCCAAAACACCTTCTCACTCAGTTCACCCCTGAGGAGGGCTCTAAGGGCAGCTGCTAGAGGATGTGGAGTCAGTAAAAGATCCCTTTGAAGCTGAGAGGCAGCTGTGAGGCTGCCGGGGCACTGATGGGGATAAGTCAGCAGGAAGAGGAACAAGAGAGCAATGCCCATAAGCGTGAGGTTAGAGGGTGCCAATGGGAGGGGATGCAGAGCAATCCTGCACAGTGTGATCCGAGGGCCCATCCCATCAGCACCCACTGGAAGCATATCTGAAATGCACCTGCTCAGGCCACATCCGTTCCAGTCCTCGCAGATGCGGCTTAGGATTGTACTTAACAAGCCTGCCCCGCAGGTATTACGCATGCAACAGTGTGAAGAACACTGGTCACCACACAGCCCAGAAGGACATTCAGCACTGGTGCCAGGAACTCCTCGGGAGCTCACGAAATGGTCACTTGTCTCTGAACTCAGCTACCTATAGCACCTGAAGGAGTACATCTGAGCCATGGGCCTGGTGTCCCTGGGTTCCCCACCTGCTTACCTGCGTCATTCCTGAGCACCGTTCCCCTGTGCACTTTCTTGTACACAATCCCACAGATGGTCACAATCAGTAGGAACAGCAGCACCTGATTAACTGAAATAAAGACAGAAGCGTGTTAAAGCTTAGCCGTGGACATGAAAACACGCTGGAGAGCATGGCTCAGTGTGAGCAGATGCCTCTGCAGCTTCAGAGGAGTCTGTGGGGCCTGAAGCTCTTCTTTGACGAGAGAGCACGAGTATGAAAGTGCCCACTCAGGGCACTGTTATTCAATGGAAATTACCTTGAAATGATGCCAAAAATTGCCTGTGAGAAAGCTATCCTTGAACAGAAAAAAAATTTATCCTTGAAAAAATTTATCCTTGAAAAAAAATTTCAAGATTTATTTATTTTTATTGGAAAGCCAGATCAGATTTACTGGGAGAAGGAGACACAGAAAGAAAGATCCACTGGTTCATTCCCCAAATGGCTGCAACCGCCAGAGCTGAGCTGATCTGAAGCTGGGAGTCATGAGCATCTTCCAGGTCTTCCATGTGGGTGCAGGGTCCTAAGAACTTAAACCATCCTCTGCTGCTTTCCCAGGCCACAAGCAGGGAGCTGGACAGGAGTGGAGCAGCTGGGACATGAACCAGTGCTCCTATGGGATCCTAAAGTTTGCAAGGTGAGGATTTAGCCATTGAACCATAGCACTGGGGCCAAAAAGAGAATCTTTAAAAAGCCTCAACATCAAAACAGTCTTTTTTTTTTTAAGATTCAGGATTTTTAGAAGTTATAATCTTACTTTTTCGTAGCAGAGCCATGAGTGTTCACGTGGATAAGAATCGTGACCTGTGGATTAAAGAATATAATTATGCTTAAAAGACAATCAATTTGAAAGTCATCAACACATGTTCAGGACTAAGCCTCCTTTGAAAGCCTATTGCCTTGGGAGACATGTGGTCATCCCTCCCTGCTGTGTATCTAGACTTCTGGAAGTGAAGTCTTTCTGGAAGTTAGATATATAGAGAGGAGGAGAGACAGAGAGGAAGATCTCCCATCTGTTGATTCACTCCCCAAGTGGCTGCAATGGCTGGTGCTGCTCTGATCTGAAGCCAGGAGCCTCTTCCGGGTCTCCCACGCTTGTGAGGGTCCTAAGGCTTTGGGCCGTCTTCGACTGCTTTCCCAGGCCACAAGCAGGGAGTTGGATGGGAAGTGGAGCAGGTGAGGGATGAATGGCACTCATATGGGATTCCAGTGCATGCAAGGCAAGGATTTAGCTACTAGGCTACCATTTCAGGCCCCCGTTAAAATTTATTTTAAACAGATTTCAACTGTGGAACATTTACTCCAGGCATATTATCTGGTCAATTTCAAAATTTGACTTAATGAGAGCCAGCGTTGTGGTATGGCAAATAAAGCTGCCATTAGTAAAGCCCATATAGAGAACCAGTTCAAGTCCCAGCAGCTCTAGTTGTAATCCAGCTCCCTGCTAGTGGGCCTGGGAAAGCAACATGCCACCTCTGTGAGACGCTGGAAAGGCAGCGCCTGGTTCTCCTGGCTTAATCCTGGACCAGCTTCTAGCTATCGCAGCCCTCTGGGGAGTAAACCAGGCCACAGACATGATCTTGCTCATTCTCCTCCTGCCTCTATCCTTCTGCCTATGAAGTAAGTTTAAAAATGTTTAAAATATCTTGACTTGATAATTTTTAGATTTTAATATTCTGCATGCACTAGATTCATTTTACAGTTGCATAGCTGTATGCATTCTAACACATGTGTGCCTTCTAACAACGATCACAAGCAAGTGAGAAAATAATTTCAATCCTCCTGAAGATCTTCCCTCTACTTGCATACTCCCTAGCACCTGCTTTCTTGGCAACCTCTAATCTGTTTCCTGTTACTTTAGTTCTGCTTTTTCCAGAATGCTATATAAATTAAATCATACGGTGTGTGATGGTTTGAAACTTTCTTCTCTCACGGAGCATTGCTGTATTTGAGATTCTTACTTGTTGCTGCTGTGTGCTTAGACCTGTTTAAATTTATGTTTTATCTGAGACAGAGAGGGAGGCAGAGAAAGACAGAGATTTTTCATCTGCTGGTTCAGTTCCCAAATGGCTGTTAACAGCCAGAGCTGAGTTGATCTGAAGCCAGGAGCCAGGAGCTTCTGGGTTTCCCATATGGATACAGGGTTCCAAGCACTTGGGCCATCCTCTGTTGCTTTCCCAAACACATTAGTGGGGAACCAGATTAGAAGTGGAGCTGGCAGGAGTCAATTGGTGCCCACATAGGATGCTGGCACTGCAGGCAGAGGCTTAGCTTGATATACCACCACACTGGCCATGTACTTGTACATGTTTATCAATGAATAATATTCCACAGTATGGATATGCCATCGTGTATTGATTCATTCACCCACTAAGGGAAATTTAGGTTGCTCCTGGTGCTTTCTATTTGCTTCTGTGCAAATATTTTTCCCTCAGGAAAATAACCAGAAATGACCCTGCTGTGCCATTTGGTAGCAATATGGTTCATTCTTATAAGAAACTGCCAATTTGTTTTTCTGAATGGAAACAGAAGTTCATTTTGCACACACACCAGAAGCATTCTAATTGCTGTATCCTGCCAGCATTTTGTATTGTATTTTTGATTATGTTCTAATAGCTGTATTACATCACTATTTTAACTTACTCTTTCCTAATTACTACTAGTATAGAGAATCATATATGTTTACTAGCCATCCATTTATGGTATATATTTTGTCTATTTTATATGTTTATTGTTTCCTTATTTTTTAGTTTTGAGCATTATTTATTTATCCTGAATACAAGTCCTTGGTTAGATATATGATTTGCAAGTACCCGCCTCTAATAATTTGCCTTATCATCCTCTTAATAAGGAATTTTCCATGGCAAAATTTATAAATTTTGATTAAAATTTATCATTTTTTCCTTTCATGGATCATAATTTTGGTGTCATTGCTAAGAATTTTCAGCCTAACTCTAATGGAGAACAAGTTTCTCAGGTTTTCTTCTGAGAAGCCTATAGTTTTATATTTTGCATTTACACTTTGGTTTAATTTTTGACTATAACACAAAGTATAGCTTACAAATTCACTGTTTGGGGCTGTTGTCGTGGTACACAGTCTAATCTTCCACCTGCAGAACCAGCCTTCCACAAGGGCACCAGTTGGAGTCCTTGTTGCTCTACTTTTAATTCAGCTCCCTGGTAATGGCTGGGAGAGCAGCAGAGGATGGCCCAAAGCCTTGGACCCCTGAACCCACATGGGAGACCCAGAAGAAGCTCCTGGCTCCCAGCTTTGGGACTGGCCCAGCTCTGGTCACTGCAGCCACTTGGGGAAGTGAATTAGCATAGGAAAGACCTTTCTCTCTCTGTATTTCCCTTTGTCTCTCTGTAAATCTGTCTTTCAAGTAAACTTACATAAAATTATTTTTACAAATGTATCTTTTGATGTATGAAAATCCATTTGTTTTCAAGGCTGCTTGCCCGCCCCCTCCCTTTTTTTCTTTTCTGCTTATTTGAAAGACAAGGACTCAGATACATAGACAGAAAAAAAGATTTTCCATCCACTGGGTCCCAAATATAAGCAACGGTCAGTGCTCGCCCAGACTGAAGTCAAAATCGTAAAATTCAACCTGGATCTCTGTGTGTGCGGCAGGGATCTGATCATTTTAGGCATCACCTGCTACTGCTAGGATGCACATGAGTGGAAGTAAAAATTGGAAGCAGCATCAGAACTTCCACCCAGAGCTCCACAGCAGGAGGCAGGTGTCCCAAGCAGAGTGTTAACTTCTGTGCCACAACCTCTGCTCTCCAGGACCTTTTGTTGAAAATATTGTCCTTTTCACGAGACTGAGCTTTTTAAGTATTTCATTCCAATTTTAGGGCACATAGCAAGGATGTGATGTCCGTCACAGGGTTTGGATCTAGAAGATTAAGTGTCTTCCAAAGAAGGGAGACAGATCAACAGAGATTTTGAATTCTTTCCAGTGATCGCTAGAAAAGGGCCTTGGTGGCTCTCAGAACTCAACATCACATATTCAGGAATGTTTCTAGAATAGTCTCATGATGGATTTGCCAGGAAAAGGGCAAATCCATCATGCACAAGTTCCAACCACACATTTTCCCAAGTTTAATTGCTGTCTTGGTACTACTTGGGTTTGTTTATGCTCCAAATTGGAGAAAGTAAACTAGCTCTATGGTCTCAAAATATACCTGATGTTTTCCTAAAGTGGTTTAACAGTGAGATAAGAACTTTAGATAATAAAATTCATGTTAATCCAAAACCAAACTTTCAATTTTGCCACATTCACTTCTCAGCAGCGCTTTGTCAACAATCCCAAAAGGCAGAAACTTTCTTTTATTTTTTTCTAAAGTTAATTTAGCATAAATAGCAATTTGTCTTGAAAACTCAGTTTGTTTTAAAATTAAGTTCATCTTCCTTAGTTTCGGCCCTTCAAAGGAACTTCTGGACTTGACATTTGGCAGTAGGCGGCAGATAGCAAACAGAGAATCCGAGGTTTTTGGAAACTTTCAACGTGACGGAGCCAGCCTTATAGGAGAAATCAGAGAGGGATGGGTGTCGGTGCTCCAGGCCTGCTGGGCCCAAGGGTGATGAGAACCTACTGGCAGTGACTAGGAGAACTCTTCAGCTGAGGCTGGATTCCAGGGATTAGTTTACTGTAAACAGGCAGCTACAACGTCCCCTTTATTTTCCTGCAAGTGTGGATCGCACACCCAGACATCTGCCATTGCTCTTCTCCTCTTCCCCTCTTAACTTGGCAAAGAATTGAGTCAAAACAGCCAAATGGCTCAGGACGTTGCTGAGCCTTAAGCACATTCCATCCACTTACAATATTGGTGATAGGCATCCGTCTGACTCATGGGGATAAAGTTAACTTAGGGTGGAGTTTAGCCACCTAGCCCCTCCTACTGCTTAGATGAAGGAAGTCATCTGGTACCAGGAGAGAGAGTGTGTGTAAAATGGACGGCCGTACAGAGTGAGGGTGAGGGTAAGGGTGAGATCCCTGAGGCCTGTCCTCCTCGGATGTCCCAGTTACCCAGCCAAGAAACTTCTCTTCTTTTTATTTAAACTGATTGGAAATGAGATATACTTTCTTGCCATCACAAATCCTTCCAGGCAGAATGATGTGAAAGTCTGCAAAGTTGTTTATTTTGATTTGCTTCAAAGGCAGAGTGACAGAAAGAGACAGAATGAGAGAGACAGTGACAGAGAGAGAGAGAAATCTTGTGGCCTTTGGTTCACTTCTCAGACACCTGTAATAGCTGAAACTGGGTTAGGCCAAAGCCAGAACCAGGAATTTCCATCTGAGTCTCCCACATGGATGCAGAAGCCCACATGCTTGGGCCTGCTTCTGCTGCATTCCCATAATATTAGCAAAGGCATGGATTAGAAGCAGAGTGGGGACTCATCAAAGGAAATCTGAAATGTGATATTGGTGCCCCAAGCCTAGCTTCACCTGCCGTGCAGTGAGATCTGCCCTGGGGAGAAGTGCACAGCGGTCAGATGATACAGTGTTATTGAAATTTCAATTTGTACACAGCTCTGACAATTTAAGTACCTTATCTCCTTTAGTTCTTACAACACCATTAGGGCAGATGGATATATTACTTTACAAAAAGGATTTACTTATTTATTTCAAAGGCAGAATGATGGGGAGACAGACAAAGAGTAACAGAGAGGGAACTTACATCCACTGGTTCATTTCCCAAACGGCAGTACAGATGAGGCTGGGCCAGGCTAAGGCTAATAGGCTAGTAACCAGAAACTCTATCCAAGTGTCCCATACAGACAGCAGAAACTCAAGCAC